AACTCTCTCTTTTTTTTTAATATATTTTATTGAGTTTTTACAGAGAGGAAAGGAGAGAGAGAGAGAGAGTTAGAAACGTCGATGAGAGAGAAACATCGACCAGCTGCCTCCTCTGGGGATGTGCCCGCAACCCAAGTACATGCCCTTGACCAGAATCGAACCTGGGACCTTTCAGTCCGCAGGCCGACGCTCTATCCACTGAGCCAAACCGGTTTCCGCTAATTTAACTCTCTTATTAATGCTTGTCCCACAGGTTATTTTTGGGATTTCTATGCCGACAATATTTTCATCTACAGCTAAAAAAATTTTAAAAATCAATGGACATAGGCTATATCATTTTTCTTTCTTTGTTTCTGTGGCTATTGCAAGTGGCATCTTTTAAAAACGTGAGTTTTCTAACTCACTGTTGCTGCTTTATAGAAATGCAGGTGACCTTTGTATATTGGTTTTGTATCCACTCATCTAATTTAACTCTCTTATTAATGCTTGTTCCACAGGTTATTTTTGGGTTTTCTATGCCGACAATATTTTCATCTACAGCTAATAAGATTTTTTTTCTCTACCTTTCTTCCTTGATATTTTTTCATGTCTTATTGCATGGGGTTAGGACCTTAGGATGGAGGTTATATAGAAGTTTTCAATATTAGATTTTAAAAGGAATTCTATCAGCATCTTTCTATTAAGTGTTAGTATTATTGTAGGTGTTTTTAATAGATGTTCTTTATCAGATTAAAGAAGTTCCCTTTTATTCCTATTTTCCTAAGATTCTGAAACCATGAATGGACACTGAGTATTATTAAATTTTGTCGTTGTTGATGCATTTATTAAAACAATCATTTGGGTTTTCTCTTTTAATCTGTTAACTGTGGTAAATGAACAGTAATAGATTTTCTAAACCAATCATGTATTCCTGAGATAAACCCAACTTGGATATGACTTATCACTGAATATTTAGGACTCTAAATTTCTTTATAAGTATTGCACACACTGTTAATGCATCCTTTCATAGTTTCATATCCTTTCTCTGGGCTGCTTTCTAAACAGTTTCTTCATTAAGTCTTCTTTCAGCTGTGTCTCCTAAGCTGTTTAATATTCCATCCATTTCTATTTTTTATGTTTAAAATGATCATACAGTAAAACCACTTTTATTGGAGAACATGCACAGGTCTGTGAATTTTAACACGTGTGTCGATCGTGTAACCGCCACCACAGTCAGGACACGGAATAGCTTCCTTGGCCTCACCAGCTCCCTGGTGTCAAGCTCCCTTTATGGTCAAGCTCCCCGCGTCCTCGATTTATTCTCCTTTGCTGTCACTTGGTCATCTATGGGATGTCCTATAAATCAGTGGTCGCCAACCTTTCGGACCTCACGGACCACCTGTTGGCGACCACTGCTAAATGACACCATATAGAATGTAATATTTTAGACTAGTATATATATTCTTTACTCACCATGGTATCTCCGAGTCATTTAAACTGTGGCAAGCTCTTTTTTATGGCAACCAGTGTTTCATCTGATGCACCCAGCTTGTTCATCCATTGAACGACTGAAGGACATTTCCCTATTCCCTGTCTCCGCAGCCATGAGCGTCGCTGCCAGAACTATTTGTGCCTAAGTCTTGTGTGGACGTAAGTTTTCATTTCTCGTGGGGGACTACCCAGGAGTGGAATTGCCGGGTGTTATCCTGAGTGTGTGCTTGGCTTTTGAAGAAGTTGCCAAGTTGCTTTTCAGAGAGGCTGCCCCACTTTGCACCCCCACCAATAGCGTATGAAAGTTTCACGTCCTTGCCAGCGCTTAGTACTGTTCACCTAGACAACTGCTCTAAGAGGCGTGCGGTGGCAGCTCATCATGGTTTTGGTTGGTGTTTTCGGAATGGCTAATGATGTTGAATAACCTGGGTGAGTCTACTTGCTACCTGCTTTCCCTCTTTTGAGTCTTTTGCACATACTTTAATTTGGTTGTCTCCTTACCATTGAGTTTTGAAAGTTCTTTATCTATTCTGAATGTAAGTCCTTTGTCAGATATTTGATTTGCAAATATGTTTTCTCAATCTGTAGCTTTTCTTTTTAACCTTTTAACAGTGTTAATCTCAGAGCAATTTTTTTTTTACTTTTAATGAAGTCCAATTTATCTATTTTTATGGTTCTGCCATTGATATCATGTCCAAGAACTCTTTGCATAACTCCAAGCCACAAAGAGGTACTCATATATAAAAGTATTATAGTTTTAGCCCCACTGGCATGACTCAGTGGTTGAGTGTCGACCTATGAACCAGACGGTCATGGTTCGATTCCCAGTCAGGGAAGATGCCCAGGTTGCAATCAATGATTCTCTCTCACCATTGATGTTTCTATCTCTCTCTCCCTCTCCCTTCCTCTCTGAAGTCAATAAAAATATATTTTTAAAGTATTATAGTTTTATGTGTTACATGTAGATCTATGATCCACTTTGAGTTAATTTTTTTGTATAATATCGAAGTTTTGGTTGGAATTTATTATTATTATTATTATTATTGCTTATGGATGTTCACACCATTTGTTGAAAGATTATCCTTTCTCCACTGGCTGTGTGTTGGTGTTTTGGGGTTGTTTTTTTTGACACCTTTATCAAAAATCTCTCGGTCATATTTTGTGTGGGCATCTCCCTGGGTTTCCATTCTGTTTCAGTGATCTCTGTCTCCAAGCCTTCGCCTGCAGGTTCCTCCTCCACCCTTTGGTTCAGGGGTGGGGGTGGCCACCCCTGAGCTGCGCTCCTGGCACACAGTTCCCCCCGACTGAAGGGTGAGTGACGTCTCGGTGCACAACACCCAGGTGTGCAGCCCTTTCCTCTCTGCACGCACAGGCGTGTTCTCCCTCCGCGCGTCCTCAGGGTCCTTTGCTTTTGCTCTGGGCTGATGGGAACGCTCCTGCGGACCAGGCTGGGCCAGACCCGCGACGAAGCCGGTGCCGTGTTGGAGAGAAGAATGATGGTAGTAAGAAAAGTAATCATCAACCTTAAACGGCCTTTCGTATGTCCACAGCACTGTGTGCCCATCACATCTGTCTAAGTGCATCCCCCTGGAAGGAAGCCCGCACCCCTGAGCAGTGTCCCCCATCCTCTCCCACCCCCACCACGGGGTGGACTGTAGGAAACCAGAGGCGGGAGCCATGGTGTGTGCAGGTCCTGCTCAGACACCTGCTGTGTTTCTGCACAGCGCCCCCCTTTCCTGGGCGCCTGGCCTTGCTCCACACCCCCTTTTCCTCACCCCCACCACCCAAGGCTCTCACCTCCCTCAGAAGGGATCAGTATGAATTTCAGTGACCCAGTGTGTGGTATTTTGTTACAGCAAGCAAGGAAAACTAATATACTTCATCACACATATTGGCTGGATGGGTAGATGAAGGGATAGATGGAGGAAAGGATGTGTGTGGGGATGAGTGAGTAGAAGGGTGCAGCAAGCAAGGAAAACTAATATCCTTCATCACACATATTGGCTGGAGGGTAGATGAAGGGACGGATGGAGGGAAGGATGTGTGTGGGGATGAGTGAGTAGAAGGG